CCGAGCCCGATGTTTATTCGTATAGTATTATATAGTAGGGCTAAAAACTAGAAGACCATATCTCGGAAACAAGAGATGGTACCATCACCATTTTTTCATAGAAGTGGTATCTGGCCCCTAGTACCCCACCCCCAAAATTTCAGACCCCAGGGTAGGGGACTTCGATGTCCCCGAGCCCGATGTTTATTCGTATAGTATTATATAGTAGGGCTAAAAACTAGAAGACCATATCTCGGAAACAAGAGATGGTACCATCACCATTTTTTCATAGAAGTGGTATCTGGCCCCTAGTACCCCACCCCCAAAATTTCAGACCCCAGGGTAGGGGACTTCGATGTCCCCGAGCCCGATGTTTATTCGTATAGTATTATATAGTAGGGCTAAAAACTAGAAGACCATATCTCGGAAACAAGAGATGGTACCATCACCATTTTTTCATAGAAGTGGTATCTGGCCCCTAGTACCCCACCCCCAAAATTTCAGACCCCAGGGTAGGGGACTTCGATGTCCCCGAGCCCGATGTTTATTCGTATAGTATTATATAGTAGGGCTAAAAACTAGAAGACCATATCTCGGAAACAAGAGATGGTACCATCACCATTTTTTCATAGAAGTGGTATCTGGCCCCTAGTACCCCACCCCCAAAATTTCAGACCCCAGGGTAGGGGACTTCGATGTCCCCGAGCCCGATGTTTATTCGTATAGTATTATATAGTAGGGCTAAAAACTAGAAGACCATATCTCGGAAACAAGAGATGGTACCATCACCATTTTTTCATAGAAGTGGTATCTGGCCCCTAGTACCCCACCCCCAAAATTTCAGACCCCAGGGTAGGGGACTTCGATGTCCCCGAGCCCGATGTTTATTCGTATAGTATTATATAGTAGGGCTAAAAACTAGAAGACCATATCTCGGAAACAAGAGATGGTACCATCACCATTTTTTCATAGAAGTGGTATCTGGCCCCTAGTACCCCACCCCCAAAATTTCAGACCCCAGGGTAGGGGACTTCGATGTCCCCGAGCCCGATGTTTATTCGTATAGTATTATATAGTAGGGCTAAAAACTAGAAGACCATATCTCGGAAACAAGAGATGGTACCATCACCATTTTTTCATAGAAGTGGTATCTGGCCCCTAGTACCCCACCCCCAAAATTTCAGACCCCAGGGTAGGGGACTTCGATGTCCCCGAGCCCGATGTTTATTCGTATAGTATTATATAGTAGGGCTAAAAACTAGAAGACCATATCTCGGAAACAAGAGATGGTACCATCACCATTTTTTTCATAGAAGTGGTATCTGGCCCCTAGTACCCCACCCCCAAAATTTCAGACCCCAGGGTAGGGGACTTCGATGTCCCCGAGCCCGATGTTTATTCGTAAAGTATTATATAGTAGGGCTAAAAACTAGAAGACCATATCTCGGAAACAAGAGATGGTACCATCACCATTTTTTCATAGAAGTGGTATCTGGCCCCTAGTACCCCACCCCCAAAATTTCAGACCCCAGGGTAGGGGACTTCGATGTCCCCGAGCCCGATGTTTATTCGTATAGTATTATATAGTAGGGCTAAAAACTAGAAGACCATATCTCGGAAACAAGAGATGGTACCATCACCATTTTTTCATAGAAGTGGTATCTGGCCCCTAGTACCCCACCCCCAAAATTTCAGACCCCAGGGTAGGGGACTTCGATGTCCCCGAGCCCGATGTTTATTCGTATAGTATTATATAGTAGGGCTAAAAACTAGAAGACCATATCTCGGAAACAAGAGATGGTACCATCACCATTTTTTCATAGAAGTGGTATCTGGCCCCTAGTACCCCACCCCCAAAATTTCAGACCCCAGGGTAGGGGACTTCGATGTCCCCGAGCCCGATGTTTATTGGTAAAGTATTATATAGTAGGGCTAAAAACTAGAAGACCATATCTCGGAAACAAGAGATGGTACCATCACCATTTTTTCATAGAAGTGGTATCTGGCCCCTAGTACCCCACCCCCAAAATTTCAGACCCCAGGGTAGGGGACTTCGATGTCCCCGAGCCCGATGTTTATTCGTGTAGTATTATATAGTAGGGCTAAAAACTAGAAGACCATATCTCGGAAACAAGAGATGGTACCATCACCATTTTTTCATAGAAGTGGTATCTGGCCCCTAGTACCCCACCCCCAAAATTTCAGACCCCAGGGTAGGGGACTTCGATGTCCCCGAGCCCGATGTTTATTCGTAAAGTATTATATAGTAGGGCTAAAAACTAGAAGACCATATCTCGGAAACAAGAGATGGTACCATCACCATTTTTTCATAGAAGTGGTATCTGGCCCCTAGTACCCCACCCCCAAAATTTCAGACCCCAGGGTAGGGGACTTCGATGTCCCCGAGCCCGATGTTTATTCGTATAGTATTATATAGTAGGGCTAAAAACTAGAAGACCATATCTCGGAAACAAGAGATGGTACCATCACCATTTTTTCATAGAAGTGGTATCTGGCCCCTAGTACCCCACCCCCAAAATTTCAGACCCCAGGGTAGGGGACTTCGATGTCCCCGAGCCCGATGTTTATTCGTATAGTATTATATAGTAGGGCTAAAAACTAGAAGACCATATCTCGGAAACAAGAGATGGTACCATCACCATTTTTTCATAGAAGTGGTATCTGGCCCCTAGTACCCCACCCCCAAAATTTCAGACCCCAGGGTAGGGGACTTCGATGTCCCCGAGCCCGATGTTTATTCGTATAGTATTATATAGTAGGGCTAAAAACTAGAAGACCATATCTCGGAAACAAGAGATGGTACCATCACCATTTTTTCATAGAAGTGGTATCTGGCCCCTAGTACCCCACCCCCAAAATTTCAGACCCCAGGGTAGGGGACTTCGATGTCCCCGAGCCCGATGTTTATTCGTATAGTATTATATAGTAGGGCTAAAAACTAGAAGACCATATCTCGGAAACAAGAGATGGTACCATCACCATTTTTTCATAGAAGTGGTATCTGGCCCCTAGTACCCCACCCCCAAAATTTCAGACCCCAGGGTAGGGGACTTCGATGTCCCCGAGCCCGATGTTTATTGGTAAAGTATTATATAGTAGGGCTAAAAACTAGAAGACCATATCTCGGAAACAAGAGATGGTACCATCACCATTTTTTCATAGAAGTGGTATCTGGCCCCTAGTACCCCACCCCCAAAATTTCAGACCCCAGGGTAGGGGACTTCGATGTCCCCGAGCCCGATGTTTATTCGTATAGTATTATATAGTAGGGCTAAAAACTAGAAGACCATATCTCGGAAACAAGAGATGGTACCATCACCATTTTTTCATAGAAGTGGTATCTGGCCCCTAGTACCCCACCCCCAAAATTTCAGACCCCAGGGTAGGGGACTTCGATGTCCCCGAGCCCGATGTTTATTGGTAAAGTATTATATAGTAGGGCTAAAAACTAGAAGACCATATCTCGGAAACAAGAGATGGTACCATCACCATTTTTTCATAGAAGTGGTATCTGGCCCCTAGTACCCCACCCCCAAAATTTCAGACCCCAGGGTAGGGGACTTCGATGTCCCCGAGCCCGATGTTTATTCGTGTAGTATTATATAGTAGGGCTAAAAACTAGAAGACCATATCTCGGAAACAAGAGATGGTACCATCACCATTTTTTCATAGAAGTGGTATCTGGCCCCTAGTACCCCACCCCCAAAATTTCAGACCCCAGGGTAGGGGACTTCGATGTCCCCGAGCCCGATGTTTATTCGTATAGTATTATATAGTAGGGCTAAAAACTAGAAGACCATATCTCGGAAACAAGAGATGGTACCATCACCATTTTTTCATAGAAGTGGTATCTGGCCCCTAGTACCCCACCCCCAAAATTTCAGACCCCAGGGTAGGGGACTTCGATGTCCCCGAGCCCGATGTTTATTGGTAAAGTATTATATAGTAGGGCTAAAAACTAGAAGACCATATCTCGGAAACAAGAGATGGTACCATCGCCATTTTTTCAAAGAAGTGGTATCTGGCCCCTAGTACCCCACCCCCAAAATTTCCGACCCCAGGGTAGGGGACTTCGATGTCCCCGAGCCCGATGTTTATTCGTGTAGTATTATATAGTAGGGCTAAAAACTAGAAGACCATATCTCGGAAACAAGAGATGGTACCATCACCATTTTTTCATAGAAGTGGTATCTGGCCCCTAGTACCCCACCCCCAAAATATCAGACCCCAGGGTAGGGGACTTTGATGTCCTTGAGCCCGATGTTTATTCGTATAGTATTATATAGTAGGGCTAAAAACTAGAAGTCCATATCTCGGAAACAAGAGATGGTACCATCACCATTTTTTCATAGAAGTGGTATCTGGCCCCTAGTACCCCACCCCCAAAATTTCAGACCCCAGGGTAGGGGACTTCGATGTCCCCGAGCCCGATGTTTATTCGTGTAGTATTATATAGTAGGGCTAAAAACTAGAAGACCATATCTCGGAAACAAGAGATGGTACCATCACCATTTTTTCATAGAAGTGGTATCTGGCCCCTAGTACCCCACCCGCAAAATTTCCGACCCCAGGGTAGGGGACTTTGATGTCCCCGTGCCCGATGTTTATTCGTAAAGTATTATATAGTAGGGCTAAAAACTAGAAGACCATATATCGGAAACAAGAGATGGTACCATCACCATTTTTTCAAAGAAGTGGTATCTGGCCTCTAGTACCCCACCCCCAAAATTTCAGACCACACAGCATATGTTTTAATTTTGAATTGCGAACTGCGTTCTAGAACGCAGTTCACTTTTGAATTGCGAATAGCGAACTGCGAACTGCGTTCTAAAATCTGAATGCCTCCTATGTATTGATTAGGTAGACAGAATTCTCTATAGTCATACTATTTAAAAATAATTGATAAAACACTGTATGTCAGTCAAAATATGACAAAATAATACCTTGTACCCCAGTCTCAGGAACATGTGCATTAGGTACATAAAATACAAAACAATTGCTATTTGATAACTCATTTATTTACAAAGAAGGCAGGGTTTAACAAAAATGGTACGAAATCCAGCAGGAAGCTTAATAGTAACTCTGGAAATAAAAAAAATCACTCATTTAAAGAAAAAAAAATCAAATTAAGCGATAAGCTTAATATCTGTGTATTTATTTTTAGTTTGAATGTGCAATTTACAATCGATATGATTCTTTATCTGTATTTATAAGTAAAAATATTTCAAAGGAAGAAAAAGAATTTCAAAAATAATTTAAAAGGCTTACTTTTCCACCGTATCCGTAACCTCCACGTCTCCCGTATCCGTAACTTCCAAGTCCCCCATATCCGTATCCTCCACGTCCACCAAATCCACCGAATCCACCGAATCGGAATCCTCGTCCGCCAAAGAGGCCACGTCCGCCAAAGCCGCCAAATCCGCGTCCGTAACCTCCATAGCCGTAACCTCCGAAATCCCTGTAACCTCCGTAATGGGAGAGCCCACCTCTGTAGTATCCACCGCGCCTGCCGTATCTACCGTAACCATAGTCAGCAACTGCTAGGGCCAGGACAGCAAACAGGCAGAGGAGCTTGTACATTCTAAAAGTTAATATTGAGCTTATAATCCTTTTTCATAACAAACATTTTACTTGGAAATTGAATGAATCATTTTAGATTTGAATTTTTTTAATATATATACTCGTACGTATCGGTTATTTTCTTTTAATTGTTTAATATATACCCGAGTCGCAATTGATAAACAGATAGATATATTAAAGCAACATGAGCTTCAACTTTGATGTCGAAATTATCTGTTTGCAAAATTGTAATTTACTATTTCAAGGACATAGAAAAAAAACATTTATAAATTTGTGTTTCTCATACTAGTATTTATAATAGAAGAACTGTTTACAAGCTCTTAATGATGCAAAATTACATTATTGTCATCATGTACAATATTGCTTTCATAAATAATAATAAATATTTGATTGCGCAGAGGTCTCTCTTTTAAAACAATTTATTATTTATTTTAGTCTAATTGATCACTAAGGTTTAGATAAATTTATCATAATCATTATGGTACATTTTAATCGCAAATAAATTCTCGAAACTCATATTTCTTTAAAAGAAAAGCATGTTGAATCTTATAGAGTCTGAAATAATTAATTTTTTCAGCCTTAAAAATATTCGTGGAGTCATTTTTTAAACGTTTCTTAAAAATTTAATTTACTTACTTGGAAGGTGGTTTTGAATTCTGGTAGGAATGTGTTGAGATCTACAAGTAACCCTCTATTTATACCCATTCCCATTTCTATAAACTACTCTGAATATGAATAGCACTCAATCATTTAATGACATCATTGCCGAATCATGGTTCCTTCTGTTCATAAATTTATTCAAGAAAAAGCGATCAATTGGACAAATGGGATGGAAAGGGGACATTTATCTTAAAAAGCAAAACTTTCTGGTTAATTATTGATTGACAGATCATAACCGACTACATGTATCATCATAATCAACACTGTATCAGGATGAACTTTGCATTTCCTGATAAAGTTGTGGTTAGCTGAAAAGAATATATTTAATTATTTTTATTCATTAATATGATAATCTGAAATAAATGCCTAAACTCTCTCTCTCTCTCTCTCTCTCTCTCTCTCTCTCTCTCTCTCTCTCTCAGTACGTATTCTACATGTGTATATAGTTCTTTTCAAGTAATTAGATGTGGTTTTAAATAGTTACTGTAGTATATCCTGAAAATGGCATTTTCTTTCATAAAAGTGTCCTTTGACAAATTTTTTTTTCACAGTGAAAATAAATCTCTTTCTTTTGACGAAAATATTACTTAATAAATGAGAGTGAAGAAAAAACACTGTAAATTTGTAATCTCTTTAGTATGATGGTCTACAATGGCTCAGTTGAATAGCTACAGCGTAAGCCCCTAATTCACGAGAAGCCAACTGCTAGTACTAGGTAAAAGGGGAAAAACTAGAGAAAACATAAAACCTGAAAATTTAATGTTTTATAATTGGGTGTAGAATTGAGACATGATGGCAGAAAGATGAAGAAAAAAACTTTATGAAGATCAAATATATATCGTTTTATATCGTTTTAGCGTTTAGATGACTCATGCCAATTTTAAACCCATTCTAACTGCCGATTTGTCTAATAGTTTATAACAAATCATTACAGTGGACACACTCACACGCTCACAATTTTATTTTTAATTCGAAATCTGTGAGCTGACAATCTGTAACGTTGAAGAGCCGGTGTAAAGACGAATAATGACCCCCATCGAATAATGACCGGGGGTCATTTTTCAACGACAAAAAATGACCCCCTACCCGTAAAAAATCATTTTTTGTAGAAAAAGTGTCCTAGGGGTCATTATTTTATATGTTAGTCCTATAAAAAATTGACCCCCGTTGAAAAATGACCCCCTTTATAGTGAAAAGAGATTCTTTAATTGTCAAGTAAATAAAATTTATTTTTGATATTCCTCCTTATAGTGTTTGCTTAAAGAATGATATTCCACTTGTTTTTAGAAATCGAACCATGCAACAATCAGGTTCCAATACTCTTTAATGGAAAAATTAATTTTTCCTTCATTTCAACGTTTAGCTTTAACGCTTGTATAAATTTGGCAAATCCTATTTGACAATGAAAGAGGAGGAAATTTTTACCCCCCCCCCCCAATAACTTTAAATCAAAACAAAATAAAATGAAAAGCAAAAATATCAATAAAACTCTATACCTTTCAATAATATTGAAAGAGGCTCTAGATAAAATATTGAAATGAAGTTAAGTCTTAACACAAGTTCTATCATATCATATTTTACTACGCCATGATTAAAGAATACTTTAAATGTTGGTGGGGGTATACTTGAAAGTATTGTGGCAAAGTAACAGTTGAAATTAGTAGAATAGTAGATTATTTTAAGCTTATTTTAAGTCCCTTCTTATAGAAAAATAAAGGCAGGGTAGTTTTTTTTTTGTTTTTTTTTTTTTTTGGTTGCTTTTGTTGATAATCGACTTCCTCCTAAATAAGTAAGGGGGTGGGGTGGGAATGACGGCTAAAAATATGCTCTGTAAAGCTATTGGCTAGTGTAAAATACACATTCTAATGCAAAAACTATACATGTAGACATAACCTTTTGATTTAGCACACAGTATTCATTACATTTCTTAATTCTTGTTTTACTCCACCCTTTTACCTATTTCTGAGTATATTTTTCAAAGAATATGAAAATCAGAACAAACATTTTCATTTTTGTAACGTCTTCTTTATACTGTATCATAATATGAAAAGTTAATTGAAGACCATTTCTTTTTATGTCTCTGTAATCGAAGATTCGGGGGTATATAGTTTTATCGTGTCCGTCTGTATGTCTGTCTGTCTATCTGGCGGTCTGTTTCTCCGCAAAAACTTTAATCTTGACAATAACTTTTCATTTATTGTAGCTATGTCTTTCATATTCAATATGTGTATATTTCTTATGACAAAACCTTACTTTGGGTACCACCAAATTTGACCTTTTGAACTTTACCTTGGGGTTTGTCCCATTTTACACAAAAATGCCAAATTTTTAATTTACTTTGGCTATAACTTTTAAACGGTAGATACTAGTACTCTCATACTTCACAAATGTAATCCTTGTGACATTAAACCTTTCTTAAGAAACCATCAACTTTGACCCTTTGACCTCTGAGTTTGACCTACCTTTCAAACACTTATCCTTAGCCATTGATTTTGAACAAGTGGTGCAAGAGCTTTCCTATTTTGCAATTGTATTTCTTGTGAGAAGACCCTACTTTGGGTACCATTATGTTTTAAATTACAATTAAGAAAAGTTTAATCTTCGCTATGTTGCCATACAGGAGCAAAGCTGTTTCATAAACACATCTTTTTATATAAGAGGAGTTGCAGATAACAGAAATACCCCCAAAGCGTAACAGACGGAGGGACGGACATCCCGATCACAACATACCCTCCCGCTCTTCAAGCGGAGGATATAATAATATATGATACTGCTGATTTTTTTTTCTGTCAATACGATGATTTCAACCATTGTTATCTTTACTACTTTAGATTCTGAATCATCGCCTTGGCCTTAAAATATAACTATAATCGTATGTTATGAGATCAACATTTCATCAATTTATTCCAAATAGAAGTTGATTGATTCACCAGCTTGCACTTTTTGTTTAAATGACATAGAAACAATTGACCACTTGTTTGTAGAATGTTTCAAAGTAAAAGATTTATGGTGTAAGATTGAAGAATGGGTTTTGGAAAAATTTGAGATACATTGTAGTTTTCATAAAATAGCAATACTTTTTGGTAAATACGAGAACAAGAATATATGTAAATTACAAAACTTGATAATACTTACTGTAAAGCAATTTATTTTTGCTAGTGAATGTAAAAGTGTTCCAAAATTAAGTATCGATATCCTAATAAGGAGGATTAAAAAAGAATTGTTATAGAAAAGGTTTTGTTATTACAAAGTTGTAAATATATGGAATATGAAAGACACTGGCAAAAAATTTGTGACGTACTTTGAAAAAAAAATCATCTACTCTTATGATGAAAAGTAATTATATGCTAATTCTAAGGATTTACATTAGTTAGTTATAAATATGTGAATGCATTTTTGTACTACTGCTGACCCCCCTTTTTTTCTCTTAAAAAAAAACTTTCACGGCTACAAGTAAACTTTGTACTGTTGTAAACAAACGAAATTATCAAGAAAGTTATCGTGTATATGTGTTTATATGCTATGCTTATATACATAATTTGCTTTGTATACTTGAAAATGCCAATAAAAAAAATTATTCCAAATAAGCTCAGGTGAGCAATTTGGCCAATTTTTTATCTAATTTTTTTTGCCCCCTAAAAATTTCAGCTTAAATCCACAGGGAGTCATTTTCCTACGGGGGTCATTTTTCTTCACGTGGGTTCGGCAATTTTTAGGGTGGTGACACTTTTTCTACGGGCAAAAGGGTCATTTTTCTACGTCGAATAATGACCGGGGGGCATTTTTCGCTGTCGAAAAATGACCCCCTGTCATTATTCGATGGGGGTCATTATTCGTCTTTACACCGGAACCCGGGATATTTACAAGAACGTGTAGGTGCTGACCTGCTGAAATATTCCACTCTGTAATTAAGAAATAACAAACATTTTATTGATGTCGGCAATGACTTTCCCGGACCTTGGTGTAAGCTTGCATTCTGATGACAACTCATCAGGAAATAAATAAAAAATGAATTATATTATAAATCCGAGATTTGAATACAAATTAAAACTTAAATTTTTAAGAAATTATTCATTGATTTTCCAAACCACTCATTGCTTTAATTTTTTTTAGGTGTATAGATTTTAGTCATCAAAATTACAAATTCGATTTTTAATTGGAAACTCGGGAATCCGGCATTACTCAAAAAGAAACGCAGTAAGATTTAATACATGAAAATAAATCTATGGTGCGTAAATCAATGATTATGTATTAAAATGAGGATACCAGCTTTGAAAATTGTAATTTATGATATCATGCCTATCAGTTAATCTTATTTAGAATAATTTAAAGATAAAAGCTAATAGAAATCTGAAGCAACATTAGAAATAGTCTAAAATGATTTAAAATCTAGAAAAATTGGTGTTTTTCGGAGATTTTAATAAATTATATTTCCAGTGATTAATTTTTTCCATTAATTTTTTTTTCAAAAATAACTAAAAGAACTTTATCTTCTTATCAAATATTTATCAAACTGAGAATATATCGTTA